GTCATGTAAACTTCTGTGCCCATTCCAGCTAAATAATCAGAATGCTTTCGGAAGTCAGAAGCTTTTGAGTTCTCATTTCATAGAGACCCTCACTAAGTTAATCCCTCACCAGCATTCGCATTCTGGATGTTGGCACATGCGTAGGGGTCGATTTGTCCCTGCCCAAGTGGAGTGTAGGCCCTGTAAGACTCAAACATAGTGAACAAGGGCTACTTAGGGCTTGTAGATACTAAATTTATCATAGAACTTGAATTTTTAGGGCGAAAATCGAGCCAGTTGAAAAGGGAAATGAATTGATAAGTCGGGCCTCCGACCGGTTCATTGATGACAGACCTGATGAAAGCAACGTTGTAAAGATTATTGCGAATGCATTGAAATCCTGATAGAGAAACGGGAGCGGACAGATCGACGGCATATGCAAGTGAGGCCTGGAATAAGCCAAACATTCTCTCTTGGTTGGTATTCTGTTCTAGTTGTTCCTTGTTCGTACCAATTCCGAAGCAGTTTTTTCTTTCACATTTACAACCTGTTGAAGAGTTGGGCTGGCGAAGCTGCCCAAAACTAAGCACGCAAACAACACGAGAAGTCTTTGCATACCTAAATCAGATAAATTACACCATAATTACTTAAATTCGAAAAAGCACGTCTTCTAGAAATAAAGAACCCAATAAACAATGGCGCGAGGGTTGAAGAGACCATGTAGCGAGCAGCTCTTATCACACGGAGACAACGATAAGCTATGGGGAAAATTGCAGACTGTGTCATACACCGTAAAAAAGGTTGAGCCTTGGTCAAATGGGGAGCCCTTAAATTTTAACTGAATGATTTGAGTCAAATGGTAACGAGGTGGTCGGAAAGGTTCCAATCGGAGGTATTCACGAGTAGATAGCTAGACTTAGATAGCTTAACTACCGAAAGCAACTCAACAAATTTCGACATTGATAGGCCCACGACCAAACGTCACTTCGTGGGTCTGGTGATTCAAGCTCAATTCCTTCAACTTGCCATTTAGTTTCTAACTTCAATTTTTCTTAATTCTCCTTGAAGAAAAACCACACATAAGAGGACATTCTTAAGCGATTCCTTTGCACTTATACCCTGTGCTCGTCTTTCGAGGATTGATCAACGTCACTGGCCACGTCTTCTCTAGAAACCAGGGTACAGAGGAAAATTTATCATAGTACTCCTAACACCGACAACGCCTGGGTCGGATTTGGTTAGCACTCGAAGACACATCGATCTTCTGGGTAGGCCCTGTCCGAGGCGTTTCCTTGAAGAGACTTGTTCACAGGACTTGTAGAGGCAGTAGGTCTGGTAGCAGGCACACCATCCTAGGCTCGCCCTTCGCTTTTATAAAGTCAGTCAGTTCATAAAGTCGGCGGACACATGAAAATATGTAACCACATCCCTGAAGGTAGCACTTTCTCATGCGCAAAAATTTGAGCGTAGTAAAGATCTGCCTCAAGATCCGTGACTGCAGATGGGGTACCTTTCTGCATTGTTCCATACCTCTGGTTGAGAGCAGTTTCCACTGCGAAATGCTTATAATAATATAGAAATGACGTGAGTCTGATAAATTTTTGCGTACTCTCCATAACTGAAAGTATATGGCTCATGGTCTAGCAAATTTATGATTAATGTGACGAAACTGACAAAAAAGGTGAAAATTCGAGTTTGGATCAATATCAATACCTTTTGATATAGGAAATTAAAAAAGGGATCGCGGCAGCAGAAAGAATAACGGAGGAAGAAAGAATGGGAGAAAAACATCGCCTGATCACTCGGCGATCAACTCATTGTTGTGTGTGGGTCCTAAAACGAACATTCGCAATCTGTATAGCCTCCACACTCGTCTAACGTGACATCAATCGAGGGAAGGGGAAGCGCATCAAGACAGCTGCAGGGCTTCCACTATTCCCTGACAGTCGAGATTATAGGAGCGAGTGGGACCCTTCTACCACCCATGGGGGTCACTGTGTTTTCCTAAGGGAAGCACTCGGTAAGCATTTTTATCGTGAACCGTGCCACTAAGGATTTAGGTACGTCTGAAGCCTCTTCTTGTTCAGATTTCAGATCTCATTTCGTGCTATAACTAGAAGAAAAGTCTTTACCTCTCTAGTTTCTGTCGGGTTAGTCATTTTCTCATAAAATAAGGGGCTGCTTATCTCCACAAGGGACTAGAGTATTAAGCAAAGACAGTGACTGGTTTTAAATTACTTTGATCCTTCNAAAAAAAAATGGTTCCAGTGATGAAAGTTTCTTTCAAAGTGTATTCCTTCGGACAGCTTCGAGCACACAAATGCAAAATTCTTTTTTTGCATGCAGCTTCAATGATTCCATTAAACTAAACGGTTGAGGAGCCACTTCAAAGGTGTGTTAAAATCCTTTTGTTATTCTCGCAAGGAAAAACTTTTTGTTCTCAATGCCGCTGAATTGACAAATTTTAGAAGAATCGAGCTATACCCTTTATTTCGATAACATTTGAATCTTAATCGGCATATATAAGGATAAACATTTAAAAGCAGATCTCCACGCTCCCCTTCATGATTTTCCGCATTGTTCCAATTTTTTAGTCTTGTGCCCATAACGGGCAAAATTCTATCATGGAAGAGGTTATATCCTAGCTAGCAATGTCAAAGACCACTCGAAACACATCGCGCTGTTCTGTTCAATTCATGCGAGCCCTTCGGCTTGAACGAAATCCATCCTGCAACGAATCTACCTGAAGTTGTCCTGTTGAAGAGCCCTTCTTGAGGTTAAATCGATTTTTAAATTTCTTTTTTTTTTCAGGAAGAAATGCGTTTCTTGTATTTTGTGGCCGTCATTCTCGCCAGCATCCCAATAAACATTCCTCCAGTCATTTGTAAAATTTAAACATGATCGAATCGTTTTCGTTACGAATAAACTCACTGAGATTACAACTTTTTCGCCAAACAAATTGTAATCGTGAATGGTTTGACAGCCTTCTGAAGAGTTCGTAGGGAAACATAACTAATCAGAGGTATGGAGCATTCCAGAGTGCTACCTTATCGACTGGGTTGTTCTGCATGAATGCAGTACAGCCACCGCTTCCGTCTCCCAGTTTTCTGTGGACTGTAGAATAATGAGGCATTGAATCCAGTTCTAATAGTTCACCGTTGATTTTGTACTAAATATGCTCTGAAATAGCTAATTAACTGCAACTGTAAATAGTAATATTTGTCGAGAGTAAAAGTAGACTAAAATAAACTCGATTCATGGAACACGCCAAGGACCCTACTCCGAAAAACCATTTTGATTGCTTACGTGGCCTATCAATGAACCAAACGGATCCGTCCCTACTTAAGGAACAGCTCTATTCTCTCAGACCAGAAGAGAACAATCAAAAGCTCTTGGAGGATGGGAGACAGGACGAAATGACCAGTTCTCATTGATTATAAGGAAGAGGATATGGAACTGATGAAATCTCCTAGGAAAAGATAATTCACGGCCTAAAAGAAAAAAAGTGCGAAAAAAATGAAAACACCAATCTAACTCAGTTTTTAACTGTAGCAGCAGTAGTCATCGTCTCCTCGAAGCTGAAATAATTGCACCGAAGTCCGTTCCATCCAAGATTGTTCCCGTGGCTAACGAATGAATCCAAGCAAGGCTCCTCGTTTAGCTTTTCATCATTCGGTGCTTTCATGAAGAAGTGTGGCCCAATGGGTCGGCTGTACCTATTGTAAGTCTTACACAAACGTAGTGGAGGGTTTAATACAGAGATAATGGATGAAAGATGGGAAGTCTGGTCTAGGCAGGCTTTCAGTTGCTATCGAAAAGCGTTGGAAACGTAGCATTGCTCACACCCACGGTGACAGCGACAGCGCTGGATATTGTCTGCTGATAGGTTTGTTTACCGCTTGGAAAACACACGTCTTACAGAAAAAGCCATCAGATATCTTCGTCTACAGACTTCCACCGAATAGCCAACGTTGCAAACAGTCGACGTTCAGTTCATGGTCCAGGGTCCCGTTACAGACATTCAGATGCGAACCCACCAATGCCGGCAATCGCCGAGGAGGTTCCGGTAGATAAGTCATCTCGCCAATAAAAAAAGATGGTTATTGAGGTTGAGGCTAGTCCAAACAGCACATGTGCGAAAGCTTATAGTAGTGTTCGCTTGTTACTCTTACCTTACACTACTTTTCAGAAAATCTACATTCTGCAAGCCTCTATTCAACTTGTGTTTTTATCGGCACGCCTCGATAATTTCGGGGTTCCTAGTTTTGGACGAATAGCAAAACTGATAGTAAAGAGTAGCTCCCAAAATAGGGAAGGAATACCTCTTAGGTAAAAATGGCTGCTACATGTCCCGCGCTCGAAAATCTCGAAACAGTGGTACCATTCAACATGATGCCTCTCGATACCATAACCACCAGAACGATGACGTTCGGCGATGTTTTTACGAGAATCGCTTATTCACACCTCTTGAAATGTGGGGGTGCTCCCAGAGTCTTTGATAATACTGAAATTACCCTTATCCGAAACGGGCACATGGCTCCAATTCCCATCGGTCCATGCTGACTGTGCTCCTGGAAATACCGTCAACGGTCTGCAAATGCACAAGGGTCCGTCACAATGCATACAATTGCGAATTTTGCGACCACCTTTAAGTCTGTGCCATTCTTGTGTATGTGATGGCTTGCCTTGGAGTCTTGTTGATTGTGGTTGCAGCCACAAAACTGGTTGACATGAATCTCCGTATGTCAGCTGCACAATGTAGCGGGCATCCCTTGATGAAGTTGACCTTGGTCGACCACCCCCTCCCTAAGCTTAAGTCCTTCGAGCTTCAACATCAGGGGTCAAGGTTCTATTAGTTTTAGGTACGATGTGAAAAGTAGGAGTTTGGAGTGAGAGTTATTCTAGAAATGTTACACCTCCTCCTTTGCTGGAACCTTGTATATCGGTGATTCAGATAATAAAAGAATTGTATTAAATAGAGTTAAGGAAAAAAAATAGAACCAAATCATTTGGGAGTAATGCCCCAAAATAAAGCCATCCAGATTATGCCTGACGGATGTGCTATAGTGGAGTATAGCACTATAGTATTTCGTAGTTACTCGTTAATTAAAAAAACCTTTTCCTATCATTTGCTCCGATTTACACAGGCAGTCATACTTCGAGCTCTATTTGGCTTTCTTGTACGGGAGAATTCCACCTTCCAGAGCACAACCGCTGCATGTCCAGCAATTTGATTCCACGCTTTCCTTCATTTCCATCCAGTTGTTAATATTTTATGCCAATGCAGCCGTTTTCGTTTATCCGCTTTTTTCAGTTTACGGACAATTTTTCTCCTCCTAACCGGTTTTTTTTACTTGACCAGTTCCTATTTTGTTCCATCTTTTCTATTTTCGGTGAGGACCCGCCAAGCACTCTTCCCTACTCTCCGGAAACTTTCAAATATTTCCAGGTTCGTTTGAGAGAACAACGTTGTTGCTTCCATATGAGGTGGTTCACTTATTCTATTGTGTTGACTACCCAAAGATTCAAAATGCCGCTAGTCAACCACCTGGTGTTCTACAAAGCTTGAGATATTGGGAAAATTCTTCTTTTTGCACTGAACGTTTAGAGGTACCT